TGGGTGGGAGAGGCAGTTGGGGCTTGTCTGCCCTCGCTAGGCTGCGGCAACTCGTGCGTGGCTGAGCGTGGCCTCCTTCCCCCCGCAGGGAGGTGTTCAAAGCCAAGCACCGGCAGACGGGCAAGAAGGTGGCGCTGAAGAAGGTGCTGATGGAGAACGAGAAGGAGGGGGTAAGGCAGGCGCGCGATGTGTCAGGGTGTGGCTAGAGTGGGGCACGGGTCTGTAATACACCAGGCAGAGTCGTTGGGAGGGTGAAGGCTGTTTGTGGGGTACTTTGCTGCTGGGCTCCATTGCCGTGTTGGTGTCTGCCGCCGTAACGTGTGAGGCCGTTTCCATCCAGCAAGTGTGGTGCGCTTGTATGCAGGGGTAAGGCTGCTTTGTGCCATACCTCTCTCACTTCTTGCCTCGTGGCTGCCCTTGCCTTGCGGCGATGGACCCCAGTGAGACGCTGAAGGGGATGAGCACTTTGCTGACCTGGCTCCTGTACACCACGTGGGTCTGGTCCACCTGTCAAGTCTGAATTGCCAGCAGTAGGGTCAGAAGCAGAATAGACCTGCACCTCTTCCCCATCGCAGGTTAAACTGGCTGCTGTGGAATAAGGGTCTGTTCCTCCAAGGATATTTGGCGCACCCAACATCCACTGTCCTCGCTAGGAGCGCTCGGCAGCTCTTGCATCAGTCTTGGTTTGAAACATGCCTGGAAGGCACGGAGCACAGCTTTGGGTTTCCACCAAGTAGGGCTCAGTGTCTTACACTAATTGCAGTTGGGGTCCTTGTGCTATTTCTGTTTGAATGTTTCCCCTTTGTCCTCTCTGTAATCCTCTCAAGGGCTCCAGACCAGTCTGATATGATCCTTTGCCATCCTAACTGGTGGGCCTTGTTTGTCCTTTTTCAGTTTCCTATCACAGCCCTGCGAGAGATTAAAATCCTTCAGCTGCTCAAGCATGAGAACGTGGTGAACCTTATAGAGATCTGCAGGACCAAAGGTATTGCTTTGTTGTTCCCCTTTTGGCTCATGTCAGCTGCTTTCTGGAGTAACCAGTAACACTGGCCTGCTGGGTGACTGTGCACATTGCCTCAGTTCCCCTGTCTGCACAAAGACAGCAATGCTGTTGACCCTTTTTGTAAAGTACTTCAAGCCCTACTGATGGAAAGTGCTATGTAAGAGCTAGGAGGTGTGCTATTTGTAATGCATCATTCCTACGTGAGAGGTAAGACAGGAAGTCCAGGGGATCTGGCAAGGCATCAGCTTGCACTTGGTTGCATTGTAACTCATGTAGATGAAGCTTTCATAGACTCCTTTGAAATATTGTGCTACAACAGTGAAAGGCCTATGTATGTGTCTGTGTCTTCTGTATACAGGAAAGCTTGTGCTTTTGTGTGTATTGCCTTAAAAAAAAAAAAGCTTTAAAAAAATCACACTAGAGAGAAACCTGATGTAAATTTCTTGGCCTGAAATTGATTTTTTTTTTTCTTTTAAAGCATCACTAGATATAAATCTATTCTGTGTTGCATTCACAGCAGTAGCTGGATTTATTTAGCACAATACAGGGTGCCTCTTTAACGCTGGTTTTATAGTAGTGCTTTGGCTCAGTGTGTTCACTTACAGTTGCTTGGGGGGGGGAACTGCATACACTTTAGCAGATGAATTCAGTGGCTTTCCATTTCATATTGCAGTTCCATCACTTGAATGCCTGCTTGTTCTTTGACTTGTTGTTTTGTGGACAGTTTCTGGCAGGGAGGATGTTGCCTCTTCTCTGCAGGACCTAGCATGGAAGGCCATTGGAAGCGAGTAGATAAAAGTCAATTTTTTTTTTTTAATTTTTAAACCAAATATAGGGGTTTTTTTCTTAAAAATAAACCTGTTTGACATCCTGACAACTTTAATGGATGATAGTAAGCATATGTGCTAAAACTGCCAAGGCTTAAATAAAAATTCAAGCAGTGCCTGCCAGGTGTTGAAATTGTAAAGAAAATTATGCCACTGAAATGATGGATATCTCTGGTTTAGCCTCTGGAGTCAGAGTCTGCTAAAGTGCCAAATCGGTTTTTGATAGCATTTCATTCTCTGCACCTGGAGAAGAACATTGTTTATTTTAGTTCATTTGGCTAGTTCAGTTCACTGACTTGTTTGCCCAGATTTGGGAATTGAAAACAAGCTTTCTTTCCTATTCCTTTCTTTCACTCTATGGAATGCCAAATAAGGTACCAGAATGAGATGCTAATTTTTAAATGTTGTAGGGCGTAATGGCCAGAAATAATTGCTATTGATTAATTGTTTGTTTACACTAACTAGCTATTGATTCATTGACCAAATGGATCTTGTTTCGTTTTTTTTGTGCCCAGCAAGGTTTGGCTAGCTGGGCACAAAAAACTAGTAAGAAATGTCTGCAAAGTAACTTTGCGCTACTGACTTAAGCTTCAGTTTCTAGCTGAATAAATGTTTACACAAATCATAAAGAGAAATGTTATTTACCACTTTCTAACAAACTTAAAAATGTAAACAACTTAAGAACCTGAAAGGATGTTTACTCCAGAACTGCTTAAAGGTGTGTCATCCTTCAAGCACACTTGGTTTTTGTTTTTTTCCTTGTGCTCCTTATCATGACTCTGACTTTCATGCCTCTCTTCCTGGCCTCTGTTTTTGATGCCTTTTATAGCTAATCCAGGTGGGAAGACTCTTGGGCCAGAGAGACTTATTTTTCTGTCTCTTGGTGATGTTTGAGTAATTTTTGTAGGTGACCAGACAAGAAGGGACAGGCAGGTGTGAGGCTGTGTGTTGAGCCCTGACTTGTGCTTACCTGCCTCTTTAACATGGATGTGAGCATCTTCCCTTTGCATGATATGGTAGTGTTTACCTCAGAATGGTGCTAGCACTGAGGCTGGATAGCATCCTGATGCTGTGGCCTTAGAGCATGGTAATGGGGGAGCTAGTGACCAGTTTCGGGGGGTGCAGTCTTGGTGACTGACCTTTCAGCAGTTGCCCCTGGCTTGTCCCTTAGCCTCCCCATACAACCGCTGCAAGGGCAGCATCTACTTGGTGTTTGACTTCTGTGAGCACGACCTCGCCGGCCTGCTCAGCAATGCGCATGTGAAGTTCACGCTGTCAGAGATCAAGAAGGTGATGCAGATGCTGCTGAATGGACTCTACTACATCCACAGGAATAAGGTAAAGGGCAGAGGCTGGATTCTCTCTCTTCCCTGTAGCTCCAAGGCTCAGATTTCAGGGGCCATTTATGTATCTTTTGATAAATAGGCGCCTGAACACTGGCCACTGTAGTTCTGTCCAGACTAAGGCTTGAGAACATACACTTTTATCATCCCTGCAGAGCTACACAGACAAATTCTTGGATTCGGGGTTCTAGGTTTTGTGGCTTCTGTGAAGTTGGAAAGCTGTAGTAGAGCAAGCAGTGACCAGTGTGTCACTAGGGTATATTTTTGGAGTAGGGAGAAGGATCCAGCTCTGCAGAATACTGTGCCTGAGGACAAAATGAAAGCGACTTAAGCTCTTGCCTGTCTTCCATGAAAACAACCTGGAGGGCCAAGTGCTGCAGAAACTATGTAGCTGGGACTTGCCCTGGCCCTTCCCCCTCAGGATTGAGGAATGAGGGCTGACAAGGGTGCTTGCCTGACTACACACTGGGTTAACTGGCTTGGTGAATGATGGCGGGGTACTTCTCAGCAGCTTCTAGTTTCTGCAGAGTGCTTAGTGAGGGGCTTCCAAGTATGTGCCTATAGCGGATTTGTTTCCTGTGGTATCCACCTACACCTAATCCAAGGCTTTTAATGTTTCATTTCCAGAGGCTGAGTGCTCCAGTTTCCTGATGCCAGGAATCCAGCAGAAGGTAGAAGAATGGCTAAACCTTTCTGTTTCCCTCTTCCCGCAGATCTTGCACCGGGATATGAAAGCCGCAAACGTCCTGATTACCCGAGATGGAGTCCTGAAGCTGGCAGACTTTGGACTGGCTCGAGCCTTCAGCCTAGCCAAAAACAGTCAGCCCAACCGCTACACCAACCGGGTAGTGACGCTGTGGTATCGCCCACCAGAGCTGCTTTTAGGTAGGGGAGGGGCTGGGGCAGAGGGGAAACTGCCATGAATTCTCCCATCTTCTGTTCCTTCCCTCTGGTATGAAGCTGTCTGAGTGAGTCGGCATTGGACTCAGGTGACTAATGAGCTGTCTGTTTAGGGGAGCGGGATTACGGACCCCCCATTGATCTCTGGGGCGGGGGCTGCATCATGGCAGAGATGTGGACTCGCAGCCCCATCATGCAGGGGAACACAGAGCAACACCAGCTCACGCTTATCAGCCAGCTCTGCGGCTCCATCACTCCAGAGGTAAGGACTTGAGGGTGCAAGAGTGGAAGGTGCATGGGGAGCTGCAGAGAAGTAGTGTGGGGCTGGGGTGCCAAGTGCTCCTGAAACCTAATCCTCCCCTTGCTAGTGACCTGCTTTGTGACCCTGAGTTGGTCATTAAATCTGCCTACTGCTTTGAGTGCCACTTCCCCCCTGGTGTGTTCAGCATGTGCTAATATTAATCCTGGGAGGTGTCATATACTGCTGAAATGCTTTTAATAAATAAACTGATTGCTTATATTTAGGTCTGTTGGCTGGTTACCTTCACCTGCATGTAAGTGGAGGGAATACATGGGGGGGCGGGAACCATTAAGAACATGTCATGGTGCACTCGAGCTAGACTGAGGGTAGTGGGTGCATTTTTAAAGGGCTCTGAGTTTCCTTAGCGTGGATGTGGTCACTCAGTGATAGAGTTGACTTCATATGTTGTCATACCTGAATGAGGTGTGAAGTGCCTGGGACAGCAGCTGGGAACCATGAGAACTTGAGATATCAGGGCAGAAGGGTGCAGCCTCCCACTGCTTTGGCAGATTGCTGGACTTCCCTGTTTTCTTTTCCATCCATTTCTAAGTGTAAGGCAGTGAAATCTTGGGGTTTTGCATTACTACTTTATCTTTCTGCTTTGGATGCCTTCCACTTCAGCTCACAATAACGAAGTCCTGATTGGAAATCACCAGGGTCTGCAGATAACACCTCCATGTGTTATTTGGTTCCTCTTTTTAGTGGAACCGAATGCAGTTTGTATGAGGGTTTCAGTGGACAAAAATCTCTGACCAAGATGGCTTTCTTCTTTCTTCATTTCTGGCATATCCTTTAGGTTTGGCCAAATGTGGATAAGTACGAGCTGTACCAGAAGCTGGACCTGCCCAAGGGCCAAAAACGCAAAGTGAAAGATCGCCTGAAAGCCTATGTCAAAGACCCTTATGCTCTGGATCTTATAGACAAACTACTCGTTCTGGACCCTGCCCAAAGAATAGATAGCGACGATGCACTGAATCATGACTTCTTCTGGTCAGACCCGATGCCCTCTGATCTCAAGAACATGCTGTCCACTCATAACCAATCAATGTTTGAGTACCTGGCACCACCCAGGAGAAGAGGTGGACACATGCCACAGCAACCAGCTAATCAGGGCAGAAATCCAGCTGCAACCAATCAGACAGAGTTTGATAGAGTGTTTTGACTGCTGGTAACCACCCCCCACAAGTATGTGGGGAGTCGACTGACTTTTCCTTAAAGTGACTCCTTGAGTTGGAGGTGAAATGCCCTTTAATGTTAGTTGAATTCTGCAGTTTCTCCTCCTTGTAGCAGCAGCTGTCATGGAAAGGAGTTGCAGCCTGTCCAAGTTGTTGGGCAGGACAAGTTCTTTTTTATGGGACAGTTGTGTGTGTGTATAAAGGAAGGGGCTGTAATCCTAAATGTCTCTAGGAAGCAGTCTCCAAGAAGCCTGGGATTGCCCTTCTAAGCCTGGCTGATGGAGAGTGCCTGCCTTTTCCCTGAGAAGTGACATTTATACTAATGGATCACTTCTGCTAGGGAACTGGTGTCATAGGCTCTGTTCACTGCCCAGGCTCTGAGGCACTGTGGCAGGAGATGATGGCATGACTGACTGACTGTTTTGGGAGCCAGTGCTGCTGAGTGGATTGGGCCATAGATCCCTTCTGGGCCTGTAGGTCCCACTTGTCTGTCCTTCTCCAGGGAGCTTCACATGCTGTATGAAGGGCATGTGCAGCATTGCCAAGTGCCTCTGAGCTAAGTGGATGTGTTCCTTTATATAGATCTGAAGAGGTTGGCATGAACAGAGCTACTCCAAACCACGGAACTGCTAGGATCCTGGCTCAGCAAACCCTTCTAGTCCCAGTGAGGTCAAAGTGAGCAAGCAATCACAGAGTAGATGAGGATGCCAGTCCCTGTAACTGGGAGGATATGGTGGAGTCACTGGTTCAGCTAAAGCTCATCATACTTTTTTTCCAGAATACTTCCATTTTGGGTTGTAAACTGCAATTAAAGTTCCTTTTTGTAGACATATGTGGTCCACGGTGTGTTCCTTCTCTGGCTGCCCAGTGCAGCAGCGCCCTGTTGGGGGTTAAGATTGTTGCTTGCAGTCTGAGTGACGGTGTCTGATACTGTATGGCTGTTAGTCCATCTGACTCCTTGGTGCAGAGCAGAGAGCTAAAAAACCTATTGTTGCTGTGAAACCCAGCTGCTCCAGATGCTCTTGCCAAGTGTTTCTGTGTCTGCTGCTTTCCAAGCGAGCACTTCACAGGGCTCTGCAGGAAAATTAATTATTTTCTAAGTGGGGAGTGTAAATACACCTAGTTAAAAGTACTGTGCCTTAACATGCATGCACCTTGTCCTGGCAGTAGGACCTTTTAGCGCTAACCAGCCTCTAGTAGAAGCTCTCTCCAGAGGTTTCCTTTGCTGATTCCCCGAGATTCCTGGGGAAACCACCGTCACTCAGGCGTTTGGTCTTCCACAGGGCCTGGGGCAGCAACTACAGCGGGTCTTGAGAATTTGTGTAAGAAAGTGCAACTGCTTTGACTTGTCCTGGGGTTTATCTGCTTCACCAAAGCCTTTGAAATGAGTAATATGTGGAAAATGAAGCCACTGATAACCTTTGGCATTTGATGGGTTGTCCTTTAACTAGACTAAAAGCAGAGACATCTGACGCTGGTGTGGAGTCTCTAGACAGCAAGCAGCAGCAGCTGGACTAACTTCAGAGCCAGAAGATGAAAAAGGACATGTACAAGGTAAATCTCTTCTTTAAGGTGGGTTTTAAAGCAACCTGGCACTGGAGGTTTTGGGTATTGAACGGACAAGGTTTGTTTGCAAATGACTGGGTGCAAGCAGTGATTCCAGATCACTCTGCTCTGCCACTCGTAAATAAACATGTTCCTGTTTCAAATAGCTTTTCCCCCACTCAAGTGATTTTTTTTTTTTTTTCCCCCACAAATGCAGAAAGTAAAGACTTGCTGTTTCATAGCACGTATTTGATCTTCTGTGTAGACGAGGTAAGATTTCAGAGAAGTGCAACTGAGGATGTCAGAGTTCCTCAGGAGGAGCTGGCTTGTGCTCTCTGCTTTTCCCCTTATGCTGAAAACAGCTTTTAAAAGGGGTGCAGACTTTCCTATTTATTTTGGATAAGAACAGGGCTGCTGTGGCACTAACTCCAATGACTCCTTGTTAGAAAAATGGCCCCTGGGCCTGGGTGTGGCTTTTGAACTCCTGTTGCTTGACCTATCTCCACAGCAGTATCTGAACTGTAGCAGATAGTTGTTCCCACCCTTCTCCCAAAAGTAGACATGTTACTCCCCAGTCCCATCACTAATACTCTCTGGATAGTCCTCCTTCCAGTTTCTCTTCACATCCTCCCCAAGCTTTACTTGGGCCAAAGACTAAACAAATGTAATTTGAAGCCAAGAGAGATGGGGCTTGGCTTTACTTTTGGAGGAAGCTTTAAAAAGGACTCCAAATTTAAGAGTAGGCCTTAATTCTGCAGAATCCCATGCTACTGCAGGATAGTATGGAACCCTGGATGGGAACATGGTTCCTGTACTAACAACTACTATTTGCCATGGCTGTAATTGCTTGGGATCTTCACACAGGGCAGCAGCCAGAAAACTAGCAGGGAGGCTGGCTGGATGTGAAACTGCCCTTGCCCCTGGAAGGAATGAGACCTTTCTCTTTTTCAGTTCATCAAGAATAAGAACGAGTGAGTGCAGGGTAGAGGCAGCTTCTCCAGCTGTTACTGCCTTGGACGTTTTAATTGAAAATATCTCAGTTTGGGTCCTTGCTGCTGTGTTTACAAAAAAAAAAAAAAA